TCCTGACCACCGCATGACCACTATCCTGACCACTATCCTGACCACTATCCTGACCACCGCATGACCACTATCCTGACCACTATCCTGACCACTATCCTGACCACCAACCTGACCACCATCCTGATCACCATCCTGACCACTATCCTGACCACCAACCTGACCACCATCCTGACCACCATACTGACCACCGTCCTGACCACCGTCCTGACCACCGTCCTGACCACCATCCTGACCACTATCCTGACCACCGTCCTGACCACCGTCCTGACCACTATCCTGATCACCATCCTGACCACTATCCTGACCACCAACCTGACCACCATCCTGACCACCGTCCTGACCACTATCCTGACCACCATCCTGACCACCGCATGACCACTATCCTGACCACTATCCTGACCACCATCCTGACCACTATCCTGACCACCGTCCTGACCACTATCCTGACCACTATCCTGACCACCATCCTGACCACTATCCTGACCACCGTCCTGACCACCGTCCTGACCACTATCCTGATCACCATCCTGACCACTATCCTGACCACCATCCTGACCACCGTCCTGACCACTATCCTGACCACTATCCTGACCACCGTCCTGAACACCGTCCTGACCACCATCCTGACCACCGTCCTGACCACCGTCCTGACCACCGTCCTGACCACTATCCTGACCACCGTCCTGACCACCATCCTGACCACTATCCTGACCACCGTCCTGACCACCATCCTGACCACTATCCTGTCCACCATCCTGACCACCGTCCTGACCACCATCCTGACCACCGTCATGACCACCGTCCTGACCACCATCCTGACCACCGTCCTGACCACCATCCTGACCACTATCCTGTCCACCATCCTGACCACCGTCCTGACCACTATCCTGACCACCTTCCTGACCATCGTCCTGACCACCGTCTGACCACCTTCCTGACCATCGTCCTGACCATCGTCCTGACCACCGTCTGACCACCGTCTGACCACCTTCCTGACCATCGTCCTGACCATCGTCCTGACCACCGTCTGACCACCGTCTGACCACCTTCCTGACCATCGTCCTGACCATCGTCCTGACCACCATCCTGACCGGGGAACCCTCCAGAAACC